TGCTGAGTCAAAAGAGAAATCGAAAAGCCACAGATCTGGTAAAAATGAAAGGCACAGCACGCCATGCCATGGGTGTGTGCCCTGCACAAGAGCGCTCTGCGTGCAAGCTCAGGTAACTGCAGCGAGCTGGCAGCCTGGGCTGCTACGGGCTTTCCGTGGCTCTGCTGGCTCTCGCTGTCCCCTTGGCACCTCCTGCCTGCTCTGCATGATCTGCTGTGTGCAGTCTTGCCTGCTTTCATCTCCTCTGCACCCAGGAGTCTGTATAGAAACCTGAACAAAAAAGAGGAAAGCAAGTTCAGCCCCGTCCCACTTGCTTTTGCCTTTTTGTTCAGTTTTCTATGGCACATCCTGGGGCTTGAATATCTCAATACAGAAACAAGGAGAGCATCAGCGCATTTGGCACTGAGCACTTGGCAGGGCCAGCTGCTGGAGATGGTTCCATAGGAAACAACTTTGCAGAGGAGGACTGAGAGGTGATCTTGTGTATCTATTGCCTTTGGCGTCCCCAGTACCTCTGTGTTCATCTGCCTGATGCCCTGACTTCATCCCAAGAGCGGAAGAAAGAGCAAGACCAAGTTTCAAGGTCTACGGGATATTTTGCAAACTATTTATTTAGCTTCTCTGGCTTGTTTCATTCTCTTTAATCCTGATGGTGTTAAATCAGTTTTTTTTTTCATGGCTACTAAGTACTTTATTGTTAATAATGCCAAAGCCCTCTACTATGAAATAAAAGTGTAAACAATTTCCACTGCTCTGTTTTCATTTTGTTCTCCCTGGGAGCTGCTTCCCTCCATCTTAAGACAGCCAGCAAGGACCAGTTTGTAGTTAGATTCCCTTTAAAATAGGATAGTTCTTTATTTGAGTGGTTCTCTGCTGTGTATACTGAGGGGTTATCTGGGAGTAATTAAGGAAAAGGAAAACACTGAGCGAAAACCGAGACTGTTTCTTCACTGCGATATCTGTGCAGCTATAAAGACTCTCTCAGGGGAGAGTGAAATAGTCTCAGACACTGAGTTAAACTGGATGAGGCATTAGAGAAGATACTAATTGCTGGAAACATGGAAGAGCATCAGATTGCTTTTTTTCATCTTTCCTTTCTCTTTTTCTTGAAATAAATGAAGAAGTTCCGCAGTCCTGAGCCCTTCTTTACCCACAACACTTCCCGTTGGGCGCTCAGCCCAGCCTTAAGCCCCTGGCAGATTTGTCATGGCCACAGGGCCCTTGTTTGCCATGTGCTGCCAGTGCAAAACGCGATGCGCTGCTCCTGGGCTGTGCTGTCTGCCACAAAAGCGGCCGGTCCTGGTTGCCCCAGTGCCCCAGCAAGCACAGTTGCGCCTGAAATGCTGCTCTGCGCGTGGACATTTCGGCGCTGCTCCGGGCTAACACGGCACCTTTCTCCTGCTGCTGCAGGTGGGAGTGATGCCGAATCAGCTGGGCACCGTCTCCTCCACCGCCAGAGCGGTGGGGATGTCCCCAAGGACTCCAAGGGAGGCCTCCCCGGGCAGAGGTGACTCCTCTCCCCCAGTGCTGGCATTCTCATGAGAGACTCCTCAGCTTTGGAGATGCTGAAACTTTTCATGGGAAGATATTGGCCTTTTGAACGTTTCAATTATTGTGGAAAAAAAAGCAAAAACAATAGATATTGTGGTGGTTGTTATTTTCACTTTCCGCCCCATCTCTCTGTTTTTGTCCTGTTTGCCAATGTTTTGGCTCATGCCTCCCACCAAAACACATGCATCCTTTTTCTTTCATACTTAGTTATTGCACAGCTCTTCAAAATGACTTTTATTTTGAGGGGATACTTTGGGATATTTTAGGATGGGACATTTTGATGGAGGTGCAGAGTAACCCACAGACTGCTTGTAAGGTGTACACTTTTAACCCCGAAAATGGCCAACTGCTAATGGAATTAGAAAGCAACTGGAATAATAGAGAAGCCATAGAAAATCAGAATAAAAAAAGAAAGGCAAAAGCCCGAACAAACACCTGAGAAGCAAACGATGCCTTCCTCAGTGGGGAAAAACTAGAGAGAAAGGGAAAATATTTCAAAAACTCGATGCTATTCTTCTTAAATCACAGTCATTTGCTCAAGGGCAGGTGTTTTATCGCCAATGGTTTCCCGCCAGTTTCACCTGTGAGCAGTGCTGCAGGCAGATGGGGAGCACAGACCATGCTGGCTCAGGGCTGCTCCAAGGCACGGCCGGACACTCTGGGCTGGGCAGAGCCATGGGGCGGCCTCCCAGGGCCCGTGAGCTTTGTCGCGGCGGGGGGCGGTTCGGGCTTGCCCCGCCGGAGCTACCGGCGTGGGCCCCAGCCGGCCAGGCCTCGCCTGGAGACATCCACCACAGGGCTGGCCGCCGTGCAGCTGAAGGCCGCTCTGGGCAAGTGCCGGTCATTCACCTTCCCCCCTGATCCCAGATCCCTTGTTTTTCCCTGGTGCTCCTTAAGAGCTGCCTTTCACGCCTCCGCTGGCTCCGCCGCGTCCCCCCCTTTCCCAAGCGTCGCCTTCTCCCACTACTTCGAACAAAGCTGGGAAAACTCCTACGAGGACAAGGGGTCAGGAGGAAACTGCCCGTTGGAGAGAGGGAGGGAGGGAGGAGGGATGGAGGGCAGGACAGGCCGGGAGTTCGCCAGGCAGACGTGGTGCCCTGGGCGCTCCAGGCAGGCACTCGGGCTCTGTGCGGCCCCTCGCAGCCCCCGTTTCGGGACCAGGTAAGTGCTGGGCCCCCTGTGCTGTGCCAGCATTCTCCGAATGGACATCGAACGACATGCTGCCCTGCATAGGGCACCGGGGGTCAGGGCACCAGCTTTGCCCCTGGCGCTCACACACTCTTCCTGCTTGTGTTTCCAGGCCGGGCTGTGGCTGCTGGTGCCCACGATGGATGAGGACTTCTCCCCAACCCCTCACTGCCGGCGTCTGCCTGCCTCGGTCTCCTCCTTGGGCCCCAGCCGCATCCCGGGACTTGCTGCTCGCCCCGCAGCATCTGGGACCCCGCCGCCCCTCGGCTTGGCGGGCCCCGCACCCC